CGTTCCTCGGAACGAGTTGTGACACGGACAACATCTCCTACACGAAGATCGAGCACTACGACGAAGGAGCATGCCAGTGAGCGAAGCCTTCAGCCAAATCGATCTGAGATGGCGGCGGATGATTCTCCGCATGCGAGAAAGGTTTCAATGGTCAGCCAAAGGCGTCCTGCTCTGGCTATTGCCAAGATCCTCTTTGCGCTATCTGCCTTTGCCATACCCAGCTACCTCAACGCTGGACAAGTGGGAAGCTCAGTGCCGTGTGCAAGTGATGGAAGGAATTGTCTCAAAGCGGCATACGGCCAAAGCTCAAAACAGCTTCACCTACGAGAACCTTGGCGACTGCATTCACCTGAGGAACCGGATGGGATTGGACACAGCCTTTTGCGAGGATCCGGTGTTGCAGGGCTTCAAATTGGCCAAATCGGCCAAAGGTCTCTCTCAAAGGGTGAAGTCGGCCGCTCTGGCCGAGGCAAAGCAGAAAGCTCAGGAGGCAGAACATCGGGGAGAACAAGACGAACTTGCTCGAGCCTTGATTGGGCCTCGCGGCGGACTCCCTACCTTGAGAAAGGATCTGATCAGGTTGGCTGCACTGCTGAACGTCGAGATTCAGCCCACCGACAATGTCGAACAGATCAAGGAGAAGGTGAAACCCATGGTGGCCTTACTCAAGGAGACAAAGACTGCGGCAAAGGCCAAACCTCAAGGCAAGACAGAGAAAAGGTCTCTCGTTCCGCAAGGAGCGACAAGCAGCGGGTCGTCCTCCAGACCTCCTCCGGCGACAGTTCCATGGTCGCAGGTGCAAGAGATGCAAGGCAAGTTCCAGTCCGCACTGGACAATATGGCTTTGGAGCTTCAAGAACTTCGCGCCGGTCGCATTCCTCAACAGCCGGTCGACCTGACAAGCCTGATGACAGAGCCCAGTTTGATGACCGACGAGGACATGATGCACATGAGGAACCCCATGGGATACGGTCCAAGTCAGGGCCGAGACGTGAGCATGGAGGAGGCTTACCGGACCGATCCAGAGTTTCGCCAGGAGGTGAACATGAGCTTGGAACAAGATTGGGAGGCCAAATTGGCCGCACACTACGGGGAGGATTACTACCTCTTGACTCAGGAAGAGATGGAAGCGGCTCTGGATCCCTGAACCGCTATGTGATCCACCAACAGCTCAAAAAAGGGCCAAGCTCAGCTGATTGTTCAGGCTTGGAATCAACATGAACAAGATCGCCGTCGTGTGTCCCAAGCTCCCAAGAAGATCAAAGAGTTGCTTGAGACTGAGTACTATGAGGAGATGAAGAGCTTTCTTGACGACGAGATCTTTGTCCAACCGATTGACTTGAACTTCAAGGTCAATGAGACCCTAATGAACGACAAAGTGCCTTCGAATGACCAGCCCCTTGTGACCGAGATTTACACGAGTGCGAGAAACGTGATGCAGGAAGCAAAACGTCGTGGTCACAAAGTGGGGACATCTATGAGCTTGGACAATGGTTGGAATTTCCAGCTTCGTCGTCATCGAGAAGCTGCCATTGAAAAAGTGAAGACGGAGAAACCCTTTTGTGTGGTACTGGCGTTTCCGTGTGGGCCCTTCAGTCCACTCCAGTTCCTGAACAAGAAGGGACACCGCTCCTGGCCTGCTCGTCTTCATGCAGGCCGCATTCTGATGAAATTTGCCTTGGAGATCGCCCGCATTCAAATGAGCGAAGGACGACACTGCATCCTCGAGAACCCTAAGCCATCCTTGGCTTGGAGTGAACCCGAAATGAAGAGGTTTTTTTTGGAGGAGGAAAATGTTTTTCAAGCTGTCTTTGATCAGTGCCGTTTTGGCCTTCGGAGTGTCTCAGGAGAGCTGCATAAGAAGCCGACCCAGGTGGTGAGTTCTTCTTCGTGCGTTACAAGTATGCTGGATGGGGTGTGTTGCATGCGTGACCATTCCCACATGCCGGTTCTTGGAGGTTCGAGAATCACAGCTCCTGCTGGACTGTATCCTCGGGCCTTGGCTCGCACTTTGGTTCGCGGACTGGAAGCCCAGTTCGAGAAGGACTTCAAGCCCTGTGAAGTTTTGGTTGCAGGTGTCCATGAGGACGATGGAGACCAAGTGGTCGCTGTTCGAGGAGAGATTGAGGACAATGAGGCCTCTGATGAGGAGTTCGCAGTGTCCCCAGATGAGAAAAAGCTGGTGATCCCTGGCAGTGTGAAGGCGACGATTCGCCGTCTTCATGAAAACACAGGTCACAGAAGCAACACTCGCCTTGCTCGGGCTCTGACTTTGGCTGGAGCACCTTTGGAGGCGATCGTGGCAGCCAAGAGACATCAGTGTGCAGTCTGTCAAGAGAGGAAGCCCCCAAAAGTGAGACGACCAGCCTCTCTGCCGACGCCAAAAGATCTCGGCGACCAAGTTCATTTGGATCTGTTAGAGATTGAAGATGCCAGAGAGAAGTACTTTGTGGCTCATTGCACCGACTATGCCACGAGGTTCCAAGCAGCAGAGATTTTGGCAGACAAGTCAACTAAGGAAGTGATTCGCTTCATGGCAACTCGATGGCTTCCTACTTTTGGTGCCCCTCGTGTTTTGGTCTGCGATCAAGGCCGTGAATTCATCTCATGGGAAATGGAGGAATGGACCTCATCCATTTCGACCTTGCTGCACCACATCGCCGTACAAGCCCCATGGCAAAACGGTGTCGCAGAGAAGTCAGGAGGAATCCTGAAAACCTTGATGTCAGCCATTGTGCGTTCGAAGTCAGTGGTGACCAAAGAGGAGATGGACCTCGCTCTGGCTGAAGCCGTTGCGGCTTACAATGGTGATGTTGATGGTGAGTCAGGGACTTCACCATATCAGGCTGCGCTCGGACGACAACCCCGGATGATTGGTGACGTTCTTGGTGGAGTTCAACAGCGTTTGGCAGAACATGGACTCATTGAGTCCAAACCTAGTTTGGCCCGCCAGCTGGCAATGAGGGAGGTGGCCAAAGTAGCTATGACTCGACTCCACTTCTCACGTGGAATGAGAAAGGCGGAATTGGCACGATCTCGAGATGCCACCTTTGAGTCTTTGCCTGAACCTGGAAGCATTTGCTACTTCTACAGGCCCCTGCGGTTCAACACCAAGACCTCGGTGAGTCGCAAGCGTTTGACACTGAAGAGATGGCATGGACCTGCTTTGTTAGTGGCTTTGGAGGGCAATTCCAGCGCCTTCTTGTCCTACAAGGGCCAACTCACAAAATGCGCGCTTGAACATGTGCGCAAGGCTAGCTCCATGGAACAGATCGCAGCCGGGACTTGGCGTGAAGCCATTGAAGAAGCAGTCGAGGCAGCACGTCTCGATGTTCCACTTCCTGGTGCCGGAGAAGTTCAGTTGTTGCCGGAAGAGGATGGTGTGACAGAAGCTGATGATGAGTTGCG